CATCCTTAAAGCTTCTCCTTCCGCTTCTCGTGGCGGGCCTCCAGGTCCTCGTGAACTTCCGGCCCCGTTCCTACAGCACCGCAGTGACAGATCCAGCTCTGAGCGCAGGCCCACGCGCAGGTGGGGCCTGCCATGGGGCATGGACGACTCCCAGTCGTGGAGGCCCTGGGCCTGCTTCTGCCTTCGCACCACTCGCAACCCCCGCAAGAATTGCAGGGACAATTGCACCTTCCTGGGCAAGTCATTTCTTCCATGCCGCGAGCTTTGCACGAAGAGCATGTGCAAGATGTCCTCCATTTGCATCCTCGGAGCCGGCCAAGTCGCTGGCAAGGAGGTGGTAACCATTTTCCGTCACAAACATGATTGGTCGTTTCTCCATCCACCTGGCGGTATGCTTGACGGCTCGATCAGTGTGTTCGCCTGAGCAAGCGGCGCTGGCCGTGCAGAAGTGAGCACAGCGCTTCCAGCCTGTCCAAATCCCTCCTTGAGCTCCTGGGCCGCCGCCACCCGCCAGGCGCCGTGGCAACTGACCTCCTCGTAGGCGCTGCCACCGGCGACCGGGTGCAAGGCAGCAGCGCGGAAGAGAGCGAGATCGCTGCCATCCGAGAGCTCGCACTCGGCGTAGTCCTTCTCCTGGAGCTGGCCTAGCTTGATCTCCTTCCACAGGGGGCCAGGATCCCGCTCGGCCGAGACGGCCTGCGCACGACCGCGTCCTGCTCTGCTGATGCTGATATTCCACTTGTCCTCCTCCTCCTGGCGTCCGCACAAAAATGCGGTGTCCCATGGCAGCGCTGCCACGGGGCCACGCCACGATGGCCGCAGCCCAGGACTGACCACCACGGTCACCGGCCTGTCCACGGCCACGCTGGCCGCCGCGGCCCCGCGCAGCAGCAGCAGAGCTGGGTGTCTTCTTCAGCGGCGTGCTTGAGAACAGCGGTGAAGGCGACGCTGATCACAAGCCAGAAGCTGGCGCCCGTGCGCCGGCAACAAATGCCTCGGGCGCTGTCCCGCAGCACCTGGCCCGCGGTGCAGCCAGCCGAGGGCTGGCTCCGCGCGGCAGCTCAAAGTCGCTGGCTGAACCGCGGCAGCACAGGACCCGGGCTGGCCCACAATGTTAGCCTTGAGCGGTTTGACCACGAGATGGCGATGGAGATGCTGCGGAAATTAAGAATCCGAGGGTGCGCAGCAAGGAACCAAGATCAAACACCCCGAGGAAGGCAGTCAAGCAACAAGACCGAACAACCCGAGGAAGGCAGTCAAGCGACATAACCAAGCAACCCGCGGAAGGCAGTCAAGCAACAAGACCAAACAATCCGAGCAAGGCAAGTAAGAATCACAACCACACAACCTGGGGACGGCAATCAAGATGTGAGACCGATCAGGCCAGGAGATGCGATGAACCACACAAGCAAGCAAACTGAAGAAGACAGTCAAGAACCAAAGACAAAGCGCACCCCTGAAGTCAGCCATGGAACAAGACCAGTTAACCAGAGGAAGGCAGTCACGAAACAAGACCGAGCAACCCAACGAAGGCAGGCAAGAAGTAAAACCACGCAATCCTACCTAGGATGGCAATCGAGGAGGGTGCGCCGCTGGTTAACCTCAAGGGGGGGGGGGAACCCCCCCCTTTCCTCGATCCGTCGTCGGGGCATCCCCCCCCCCCCCCTTCCCCGATCTGTCGTCAGGGACCCCCCCCCCCATTCCTCGATCCGTCGTCGGGGAACCCCCCCTCCCTCCCCCTCTTTCAAAAGGGGGGGGGGGTCCGACCCCCCCTTCCCCCTTTGGCCGCACCCCCCCTCCCCCCCTTTTCGCCACGCCGCCCCCTGACTCCGGAACCCGACCCCCGCCACCCCTACCCCTAGTCCTCACCCTAACCCAAACCCCTAAACCTAACCCCAACCACTAACCCTAGCCCCACAGATTACTCACTACTCATTACTCACTATCAACTACTGACTACTCGCTATTCGCTACTCACTTCTCACTACCCCTACTCACTACTCACGACTCACTACTCACTACCCACTACTCACTACCCACCACCCACTACTCGCTACTCACTACTCCCTACTCACTACTCCCTCCTCCCTACTCACTACTCCCTACTCGCCCCTCACTACCCACTACTCAATACTCACTACTCACTAAGCACTACTCACTACCCCCTACTCAGTACCCACTAACCACTACTCATTATCCACTACCCACAATCCACTACTCACGACTCACTACTCACTACCCACTACTCACTACCCACCACCCACTACTCGCTACTCACTACTCCCTACTCACTACTCCCGCCTCCCTACTTACTACTCCCTACTCACCCCTCACTACCCACTACTCAATACTCACTACTCACTAAGCACTACTCACTACTCCCTACTCAGTACCCACTAATCACTACTCATTACCCACTACCCACAATCCACTGCTGACTACGCACTACTCATTGCCCACAAATCACTACTAACTACCCACTACTCGCTGCTCGCTACTCACTCCCTACACAATACTGACTACACAGTACTCAGTACTCACTACTCGCTACTCCCATACTCGCTACTCACTACTCACTCCCCGCTACTCGCTACTCACCACTCACTATTCACTACTCACTACCTACTAGTCACTACATAGTCTCTAGTCACTAGTCACAATTCACTAGTCACGAGTCATGACTCACTACCTACTACTCACTACTCACTAATCGCTACTCACTACCCACTATTCGCTACCCACTTCTTACTACCCACTGCTCACTACTCCCTACTCCCTACTCACTACTCACTACTCACCACTCGCTACTCCCTACTCGTTACTCACTAACCCACTACTTACTCACTACGGACCACTCTCTACTCACTACTCACCACCCACTACGCCCTACTCGCTCCCCACTACTCACTACTCGCTACTCCCTACTCGCTACTCTCTACTCGCTACTCACTACTCACTACCAACTGCCACTACCCACTACTCTCTACTCAGCACTACTCACTACTCACTACTCACTACGCACTACGTACTACTCACTACTCACTACTGACTACTCACTACTGACGATTCACTACTCGCTACTCACTACTCACTACTCACTACTCACTACTCACTACTCACTACTCACCACTCACTACTTACTACTCACAGCTCACTACTCACTACGCACTATGCACTACCCACTACTCGCTACTCACTAATCACTACTCGCCACCCACTACTCACTACCCACTACTCACTACCCACTACTCATTACTCCCTACTCCCTACTCAGTACTCACTACTCGCTACTCGCTACTCACTATTCACTACTCACTACTCGCCACTCACTACTCATTTTTCAGTACACACTACTCACTATTCACTACTCACTATTCTCCACTCCCTACTCCCTATTCCCTACTCGGCACTCACTACCCACTACTTACTACCCAATACTCACTACTCACTACGCACTAACTCACTGCTCACTACTCACCACTCCCTACTCCCAACTCCGTACTCCCTACACACCTCTTCCGGCGCAGAAATGAGAAGCGAGAGAGGCCCCCCCTCCCCGGCTCCCTTTCCGGCGCAAAGAGGGGGAGGGGGGGGGATCCGACCCCACCCCCCTTCCCAGCGCCAAGGGGGGGAGGGGGGGGGAGGGGGGGTTCGGACCCCCCCCCCTTAAGGGGAGAGGGGGGGCCCCCCCCCCCTCTTTGGAAGGGGGGACGGGGGGGGTTCTGCCCCCCCCCCCCCCCCCCCCCCCCCCCCTTTTAGTGTATTCGGGGAGATCCACCGGCGCATTTCGCAATCAAGACACAAGACCAAGCAACCCGAGGCAGGCATGCGAGACACCAAGACCGCTGCCCGAGGAAGGCAGGCGAGACACCAAGACCAAGCTGCCCGAGGAGGGCAGTTGAGAAACAGGACCAAGCAACCCGAGGAAGGCAGTCAAGCAACAGGGCCGAGCGAGAACGGAGGTCGAGAAAGAAAATCACTCAGGATGACAGGCAGGAAACAAGACCAATAACCCCCGAGGAAGACAATCGAGAAACAGGAGCAAGCAATCCAAGGAAGGCAGTCAAGGAAAAAAGACCATGCAAACCGAGGAAGGCAGTCAAGAAACAAGACCAACCAACCAGAGGATATCAATCAAGAAAGATGACCCAGGAACCCGAGGAAGGCCCGGCGGCGCAGGCCTGGCACCCACTGGTCCTTCAAACCCCTCCTATGTATCCTCCCTCTACTTCGCCCCTCCTTTCAGCGCTTCCTCCGCCGCCGTCCTCCACATCACACCGCCCATTCTCCTGCTCTCGATGCACCCTCTTTTCCCTCACTCCATTTTCTCTCGTACCGCGACGTTGCCGCAAGGGCTTGCGTTCAAGGTGCGTGCGGCCAGAGTCAATTGTGGAGCATTGGCTGCTCGATTGTGATGTTTATCGGGTTGGCCCTGCCCCAGGGAAGCAGCTGCAGGAGCTGTATAACCCAACCCCGCGGGTCACTGGCACGTGCACGGTGCGGAACACCAAAAACTCTCCCTCCCCTAATCCCCAGTCCTCCGGATCCTCCTCCGGCTCCTCCTCATCCAGGGGGCGTGCGATGTGGAAGAGGAGGATAGCGAGGACCGAGGTCGAGGGCGACAAGGACGACGAGGACGACGGTTTCGTGTCGAGGACGACGACGCGGCAAACAACGAGCACGACGACGTCGACGACGAGGTCGACGACGAGGTCGACGACAACGACGACGACGACGACGGCGACGGCGGCGACGACGTTCCGCGCCTGGGTGCGGCAATCCGCAAGCTTGCCATCGCTCGAACGTGCATTCCCCTTGCATTTTTGGAATCCGCGGCTTCCTCGCAAGATGAACCAAGATGCTCCTCGATGGTCCTCGCCGAGAAACAAGCGCGCACGCTCGGGCGATGCTAAGGGAGGCTGGAGGCCGCCAAGCGCCCGTAGCGAGGGGGCGCGCGCGCGCGGGCTGGCAGGGCCTGAAACGAGCGGGCCCTCCCGTGCTCACGGCCAGCGCGCGCCGGGCATCCACGAGGGGGCACCCGACGCCGCGAAGACGCTCTGCAACGTGGGGGCCTCCGCTCCACCTTTGACCCGTGTTGGTTGGTCAGCCTCTGTGCCCCCGGGCAGGGAGGAGAGGGAGGAGGGGAAGAGGGGGACGAGGAGGTGCAACCAGCTTTGTTTTGGATATGGCAATCAGACTATGCGGGCATATCTGGGATCCTGGGCATTAATGCGCAGTTGAGGGAGAGCGTAACCTGAAAACGAATCATCGATCCACCCCCATTATCCGTAGCACCAAAGGGGGAACTATGTCGCCACGCTTTGATGCGCTCATCATATTCGCCATGTCCCTGGAGACGATTGGAATCTCAGAACAGCGAGTTGGAGCTGACCGCGTTGCGGCGCAGGGCGGCGCACGCGTGCGGGTTGACGCAGCGGCGCTGCAAGGGGAACCCCAGGACCATCGCCCCCTTCCTGACACTGTTCGGGATCACTATGTTGGAGGCCTGGATTGGCACCAACACCAACACAGGGGTTTGCCTCCACAGGGGGAAGATGATCCTAGATTTCGGTGTTGGTGGTAATATTTCGGTCACCTTGGAAGCCAGAATATCACCACCATCACCGAGATCGAGATCTTCTTCCCTCGGTGGAGGCACACCGCCGAAATTGGTGTTGGTGTCAACCTCTAGGACCATCGCCCCCTTCCTGACACTGTTCGGGATCGCTGTGTTCGGGTCGCGGCGCTCGGCCCCGCAGGCGGACATCCGCTGGCAGGGGATGGTGCAGAATACAACACTTCACTGCGCAGCGGAACATGTCATCGTGAGCGGCGCTCCTGGCCGGGCCCGAGGAACTTTCACGAAGCGGCCGTGCCCGAGAAGGATTCCAAGATTCCATATGACCCCACCTCCCAGCCAGGGCCCGTAGATATATTCCAGCGCGGAGACGCGCCCAATCTTTGCCGCTGCCTGGGCAACAATTGCGGCGCTTCCGGGGAGAGACCGAGGCGACAACTGACGTCTTGCATGGCGGTGCCGAAGTCGTCGGTGAACGCAACATAACGACCAAGAGCACGCGCACCAAGCGCACGCAATGACCCCTGGATGTGGTCAGACGCGAGGGCCACAACGGAGCCTGACATGGAACGCCCCTGTGCGATTGCAAGTTTGTGCCAGAAGCCGGCCCTCTGAGGCCCGCGGGAGAGAACTCGGCACTGCAACATCCTGATGACGCCCCGGTCCCGCGCGCGGCATACTTCGGAGTATAGTCATCGCCTCAAAAAGCCAGACATCGCGCTGTGGATTAGTGACATAAACGCAGCTTAGAAATTGATGCTGACGCATTCGCTTCGGCGAGCCACCTACTGAACGAGGTAATGCAGAAGACAAGCTCCGAATTCAAGCGGGGCGGACTGCATGCGCCGATTGCGGATGAAACCGCGCGAATGGCAGTGCGTGCAAGAGCTGGGAGAGACAGGCCAGCCCGCGATTCACGGCCACAGCTAGGAGTTCGGTGCTCGAGGCTGCGAGCGATGCGCTCGCGAGTGCCTGTCGAAGGAAATCGGTATCATTTGCCCCCAGCGAAGCTTGGCGCCGACCCCCCCGCGGATCAGATACGGCAAGACAGCGAGTGTCAAGACAGCGAATGGCGGGTTCAGCGCCGCAGAGCTTCGAAACATAGAGTAGCCCGTGCGGGCCGCGTGCCGCGTCATGCTGCCGAGAGAGGGCCGCCCGAAGATCAGGAAATCCGAGCGTCCATTCGGTGCTCGGCGGCACGGCTTGCACATGATCTGGCGAACACTTGCGAGCAACTGCGCGGCTTTGCCGGGAGGCGCGCACATCGTCCCAATGCTGGGTAAGCAGATTCGCGGCCAGAGCTGGGCCAGCATGCAGTTGTTCAGAATGGCCGAGAACGGCGGCGATGAAAACAGCAGGACGATGTTTTCCCCGAGCGTGCTTGCGAACGTGCACTTTGTCAAACCAGATGTTCGTGACGGCGGGGCACATGTCAGGCGAGCTGACGCGGCAGATTTCGAATTGCAGAAGCCCGTTGGACCTCGCTGAGGCGACCGTGACAACGACGGAAATGAGTGAGCCAAACACCACGCACCTGCGCCAACCATTTGCGACCACTCTCAACCAGACAAACTTGACCAGGCCGAACCCGACGAACACACCTCGTAGCCGAGAGACAACATCTGAACCTCTCGACACAAGATGTGGACGTCGCCATCCCTGGCTTGCGCGGGAGACTTCGGACGGCCTCCCTCGGTGCATCACGCATTCCTAAACTTACAGGGACAAAGACGTGGTGGAATTTCCTAGCCCTCGCCAATACGTCGTCATGGAACCAAGTGCGACGAATGGGCCACCGCTGCGCTTGAAACGTATCCGCTGCACGCCGCGGACGGCACGCAAGCGCGTGTTCCATCAGTGCGTGGTCGAGCAACACGCGTGGCACATTGCCACCATTGCGACGGGCGGTTTGGGTGGGCAAACGAAATCTGGCCGACATCGCATGCGTTTCTGAAGCGGTGCCCGAAGTAAACCGCCACCCGGTAGGAGAGTAATCGAACTGCGCCAGCGGCATGATCGGGGCCGTCACCCATGCGCAGAACTTTCAAGTCGTCTGCCGTTGAAACTGTGGCACGCTCGTGGCATTGCGCCAGTAATGCTACGAATGAACTATATGACAAATGTAAGATCACCACGCGGACTGATGGCGTATATGCTCAATGGATCTACCTCGAACTCATTGGTGAGCAGCAGGTAGGCGACGACGTTGGTACATCATCTTGCCTGGCTCAGTCAAAAGTTCATATTTGCCACGCCGCAGAATAGTTAGAGTCATCTCGCGAGCAGCCTGGAGCATACGGACGCGGTCGCCACGATGCTCAGCCTGTGAGTAGCACGCCCATCCCGACTTCGAGGTCACGCGAAGGACTGACGTTCAGAACCCTGAGTCGGGTGCCAATCGGTGCTGGAACTCAGAGAGTCGTCGGTGAAAGTGTGCGCACTCTCCCCGGAACTGACGAAACGCTGACACCAAATGTCCACAATGTTTGCACGGGTGGCCCGTGCGTCGCCTGGCTGACGTAACCGCTCCACTTCGGCATGTCGGGATCAGCGCGCGGCATGGCTCCCCCAGGGAAGCCGTCCACTTCGCAAACTGTTCGTGCGAACCTAAGTCCACGCCGACGTCGTCAACCTCTTCCGCATCGCGACGCACGCGATGTCCAGCCTGGGGGCGTCTGGCTCGTGCTATGACGCGCATGGGATGCAAGGCGGCGTCGCTCGAGGCCCAGCACCTCCACCTGTCGCCAACCAGGTGCTCCACCGCCTTGTGCACTCGATGGTCGTCTGCTGGTTCCACTTCAAGAAGAGAGCCCTGTTGGTCACTGTATCGGATGTACTTCAACCAAGGGCCTGCGCGTGATATATCCGAGCTGGACCACGCAAGCTTCGCATCTATCACATTCTTAACCGCAGGGGTCGCGCTCGAATAGACTGGATGCAATGGGAGACCATGGCACTACCGCCTGCCCAAACGCCAACATGAACAGCTGGTTCGCCACGCTACCTCGGCCAACATCTTGGCCGTCGCAACGGACGGTGGACTCGCGAGTGGGGGGTGCCCGCAACCACAGCGGTCTCAGATATACCATTGCCAACTTCAGCCTGGCCTGGTTTGACCCAAGGATCAATGCAATGACTGAAAGCCATGGATAAGCTTCTGCCATCCTCCCCGAGGTAGAACAGGATGCACTGGGTTGGTCGGGTAGCATCCGACTCCGAAATGTGCGATCAGCTTCGGCTCCGCGTCTCGGTCAGAAAAAACGTGACGTTTGGCCGCGTTTTCTGGGTGCCCGATGCTCGCGTCGGACTTCTCGGTAACCTCCAAGTCATCTCTTAATAGTCCAGGACGTTGCGCCACGAGGGGCCAATCATCCATGAACAAGTGGTTATTGCATAGCGGCTGCCATGGAACCAGCGTAGCTATCATTGCAGACGGGGCCATTAAATCCCCTTGCGGACGGCCGCAGAGTGGTCGGATGCCGGGCGCCCTTGCTCCTGACCAAACCACCAATCAAGTGTGCATAACTGCGCCGGGTTTTTCAGATCGGCCCAACGATTCCAGCGCAATCGATTGGTAGATGCGATCATAAGCTTTCGATAAGTCATGTTCGGCCCCATCGGTTCCCTCGGCGCAGTCCGACAGCCACCTGGCGATGAAATGGGGAATAGGGCTGCCTTCCTGTTCGCCCACTGGTTCTTGGGAGGATTGGGAGTGGCGTTCGCGAGGGCTCGGAGCCATTTTCTGAGGAGAGCCGAGCCGACCGCGATGGGCCTGGTGTCCGTCTCGCCCGGAGTGGAGCGTTGTCGTGCTCTGGTGGGTCCCGAAACTGCTTCGGTTGATCTCTAATCATGCGCAGCGCGCGATTGCGAGGGCAGCGTCGTCTTGAATAAGGGAGTTGTAAGACGTCAAATGTCAGAAGATCGCGCTGAGAAACCCTGTCGGCGCTGCCTGGCGCGATTATCCTGCAAGCGTCGTTGCTCAACGTTGATGCCAGACGAGAGGGACTTGATTGCGTCAGCATAGCTCAGCTAACCTGTCGCTGGTAGGTGGAGCAGGTGAGGAAAATCAAACGCTGCCTTCGTCACCTGTGAATAATGGTCGTTTCGTAATATGGTGGTGCTGGGCACACCCTGTCGAAGCTGCTCAGCAAGACGTCGACGTAAGCGTAGTTGGCGTCGTTGCGCGATAGACTGGTCCAGTCGGTATGCTGGTGAGTGCGTCGTGGCCCTGGTGGTCGGAGGGGGGCCATTGCCGCGCTCGGCAGCGCGCTCCATCGTAGCGCGCCCTCGTCCCACAGCTAAAATCAAATCATGTTCAGCTCTGTCGGGCTAATGCCTCCACTGAGCTACCAGGTCTGGCTCCTGAAGGCCATCAACAACTGGAGGTCCGAAGTCAGTGTCCACCAACTCCTGCATGAGACGTCGCTCGTCATCAGAAGGCGCTCTGAACGGTGCGTAGGAATCTGCGTGGCACATGCGCGTCGGTGCAACGCT